ACATTAAAAATACTGAGTATTTTTTGTATCATGTAGAATTTTTTTTGATTGACTGTAATTTTTCAACATTTCGTAACGCCTATTTTAGAACCAAAATAAGGCCTTTCACTCTTCCCCGACGCCTATTCAAGAGATTGTACGGTGTATTGTTTGTTTTGTGCATGTGTTGTGGACTAAAAATGACCACGCCCATTTAGTGATTGCAATATGTACGTAATAGAAACCGCACCCCGAACTTGAGCTTTTGATCCCAATTTTTAAATTGATACATTGTAATATAAACCGCGGTTTATAATAGGACTTTAACGGTACTATATATAAACTAGGAATAAATGTTCAAACTGCGAGGCATGCTGTATAGATAAGTTATTTAACAAATTGTTAGTGGATTTTATTTGCAAGTTTTATATCTGTAACAAATGCAGTGTTACTAGAAATGCATACTATAATTTAAAGCCTATTCAGAGATGAAAGGACACATTGTTTCTATATAGTGAAAATGCATTTCAATGCTGCACACTAATATGAGGTTATTGTGGGGATACTGTAAAACATGTTGAAAAAGTGACATACTATTTTAGCGAATTGCATGATGACAGTACAGTGGGAGTATCGGCCGACGCACAGTGGAGGTCGATGCGCGGCATATCTGAGTGCATACCTTTAGGTATTCTTGTAATAACCTTATTATTATACATCTTTCCTTCCAAGGATAGACCATGGGAATGCCAAAATCCAAAATGTTTAGAACAGAATCAGCAAAATTCTTTGTGTGGAGTACGGTCAAACTCTGGTGGCAGCCATGTTTGTTTTTATTATTAGAGGACACTTACGCACATAATCATTTCAAATTTGGAATTTGCATTTCCTAATATGGTAAGATGGAAATACCCCATAAAATACTGCACAATTTTGGCACGCTGTAACTTATGGCGTTACAGTGACAGATGTATGATAAATTATCATATTGATTGGATAACAAAAGTAATTGAGAACGACACATATTCAGACAAATTCAGAGTGGATTTGAGCCCAAGCCATGATTGTTACGCAGATAATATAAAGTAGTACACCTGGGTTGAACATCCTTGCAAAATTGATTTGTTCTAATGCTTGTCCTCATTACAGTTACAGACCCATAACTCTCAGAAATTATTTAAAGTGGTCTGATACAGTTAATTTTTGGCAAAACAAAAATTTT